CTTTCTTTTGTTTTGAGTCAAAACATGGTCAACATCTTTATCTATATATATATATATATACCATAAAAATAGAATTGTGCCATTATCTTGAGCCAAACAAGACTTAACGAATCAGACGAAATTCAGTTCTCAATTTATTTTCCCAAATGGTTCTACAAATTCCCGGTATCACATAGGCGTGTTCAATTTCGTTTTCCGAACCCATTACGGTCATCAATTTCAGTCCCAAAGTTCTCATCTCAACAGATATTCTTCTAAGTTCAACAGATAATCTTCAATTAAATCATGCTAACACATAATTAATTACTGGTAATCATGGTATACGGTTCTGGGTCGTTACACTCTCCCCAACTTAAAAAGTTTGGTCCTCCAAACTTAGCTCATGTTGATAATATTCAAATCAGAAATTTCGGTTGTACGTGATAATTCTTCCGTCAGAAATGTTCAATATAAAAGTAGTCATATAGACATAATCATTCCTTAACAAGTAATAACAAAGGTATATTATTCCGTCATGGTCATAGGTTCATATTTCCACCGCATAAGTAACATAGCCATCGCATAGAGAACAGTGCTAACATCACCGTAGATAATAAAAAAATCATACCTGTATTCGCTTTTCCAGTATTCTGTGTCTTTTCTGAAACTAGGGTGAAAACCCTTCCTTGCCTCAATGTATTCCCCTCAGGAGCAGATGTTACGTTTGTCTTTGGTGTCATTGTTGAGTTAACTCCACTAGCAATGGGTCCTTCATTTCTTACATAAACTTGTGGGCAAGCTTTAGCTATATGTCCTTTTTGTCCACATTTGAAACAGACTCCAGTTCCACGGCGACAAATACCCCAATGTTGCTTCCCACATTCCTTACAAGTAGGAACACCTATACTGCCACCACTTTCCCTTTTTGTGTTGTCACTAAACTTTGAAGTCAAATTTTCATTCACGGAGCCCATGGATTCACTAACTGTTTCTACTTTCTGTTTCTTGAATTTCTTACTTTCTGGTTCAGGTGTAGTTATAGACTTGGACATGTTCAAGATAGCAATATTTGTTTCAGCCATCAAGGCTCTGTCAAGTACATCAACATATTTTTCTAATTTCAACACATTCACCTTGTCAAGTACCTCAACATGTAGGCCACCCTCAAATTTCCTTGCCTTCTTGTAATCCGTATCAACCATATGAGGAGCGTAACGGGCTAGTTCGGTAAATTTCGCTTCATACTCCGCTACTGACATTGTACCTTGCTTCAGCTGCTCAAATTCGGATACTTTTCTATCTCGCATGCATTGTGGAAAATACTTTTCATAAAACATTCCTTTGAATCGATCCCATGTCAAGTCCCTGTTCATATCTCGAATGAGCATCCACCATCTTCTCGCTTCTTCCTTCAAAGTGAATGTGGCTAATAGAACTTTATATGTATCATTACATGGAAACACTTCAAAAATTTTCTCAGTCTCAAGTACCCATGCCTCTGCTTGTAATGGCTCAATACCTCCTGCAAATTCTGGCGGTTTCAATTTCTTGTATTTCTGTGTCAGAGTGATGATGTCATCATAATTGATCGGTTCCACTTGAACAGGTGGTGGAGGAGGTGGTGGAAAAGGTTGTCTCTGTTGTTGTTGGTTTTGCTCTTGCTGTTGTCTCACCAACCCAGTTAAGGCTTCCACCATTCTTTCTAACCGATCCATTCTGGCATTAGAAGATTCTGACTCATCTACATTCCTTGCATTAGCGTTCTCCATTGGTCTCTAGTACCCATAGCAGATAGAATATTTCATTCTCAACATAATCGTTCCTCTGATGTCTCATCATTTACAGTTCTCGTTTCTTTCTCTTTCAAACACACACACACATGCACACATGTATGCCATGCTCTATTTCTTTTCTATGACACCCTACAGCTCTGATGGACACGTGTGTGGGTAAATTAACTCGTGCGCTCTGATACCACTCTGTCACGGCCCAAACTCGCCCTTAGAAGTTTGGCAACGAGACCGGCCAGTAATCCTAGATTACCACAGGCCTTTCTGTACAAACATACATAACCGGGGCTTGCGGAAGCGAAAACAAAACACTAATAGTCCAAAGAGCTGTGCATTTATATGAACATACATTACATGCCAAAAATGTTAATTTACCCACTACATTACATCACATATAATCAAAATTCATATACAAGACATAGGCTCACGCCTCATGTACAACCAAAACCAAGCTTCCTAACGGCCTTCCTAGGCCTAGCCCCAACTCGGAGGCACCAAAACACCGGGTAGGCTTCAAAACGGCGGCTCGGCTCGGACCCCGCCTAGGCTTGACTCCCAGAGTGCTCACCTATAAATACATATATACAAACAATGAGCTAAAGCTCGGCAAGTAACATTAACGTAAAGGGGTAGTGAACGGATTCCACATTCATATACCATAAAATAAATCATCCATAAGCATAATCATCTCATATCAGAACATACATAATGGCATACTCCATAGAACATAACATTTGTCGTCCAACGACTAGAGTAACCGGTCCCGGACACCGATTAAACACATACCGAGATCTCGTAAACTGGTCCACTTAGGACTATCTATGGATGCCATACTAGATTCGTAAACTGGACATTCGTTCACAGAAAACATTTATCATTTCAGAACCGTAGCATAACGTAGCACTTTTAAACATAGATCATACTAACATATCTTTACAGAAATGTTACTCACAGTGGGTTTCCAAAACCGGTTGCACGGTCTTCGCTTCTTGACCTGCAATTATCAACATTATAACACATTTCTTCAGTACACATCATCATTAAATCACTTAATTCATGCCATTCTATCATTTCCTTATGAAATTTCATGTTTATAAGATGATAAATGATGCAATTAACATGTTAAAATCAAGTCTGCAACTTCTCCAAAATTTTCCTGAAAAAGGCCTTCCTGCTCGAGCGCCACTTTGGCCGCTCGAGCGTACTGTAAAAAGTCCCAAAACTGCTGGGAGGCTGTTTTTCACGCTCGAGCGGGAATACCTCCGCTCGAGCGGGCCACGCGAAAACCTGAAATTCTGGGCTCTTCTCAAGCTTCAATCTTTCCTCTTTACAAAATCACTTTCCACATTTATGAAATCCAAGACCCAAAATACTTAAAACCACTTGATCTAAGCTTCAAAACTAAACCCAAATGCATCACATACAAAATCCAACCTTGATTGAAGATGAAAAATCATATATCACACAAAAACTAGAATTGTGCCAAACTTTGAGCCAAACATGGCCTAACGAATCAGACGAAATTCCGTTCTCAATTTATTTTCCCAAATGGTTCTAAAAATTCCCGGTATCACATAGGCGTGTTCAATTTCGTTTTCTGAACCCATTACGGTCATCAATTTCAGTTCCAAAGTCGTAATCTCAACAGGTATTTTCTAAGTTCAACAGATAATCTTCAATTAAATCATACTAACACATAATTAATTACTGGTAATCATGGTATACGGTTCTGGGTCGTTACACTACTTCATACCGAACTCCCTCATGGAATACGCCAATGCCATGCAACAGCAGTTTCTTGAGGGCTCAGACTCTGATGAAGACTCTGCCCCTGAGGATACTCCGGTTGCGAATGTAGATCAGGTAGTTCGGTCGGAGCCCACGGTGGAAGATCTAACTATTGAACAACCAAGTGAAACCGTGGTTCCGACCGAAACCACTCTTGCGACTGAAAACGAGTTTCCGCCAGAAACCGGTCTTCAAGTTGATGCCGATGCTGCCTTCGACGCCGAAATTGAAGATCTTTTTTCTTGATTTTGTACTTTTTCTCTTTTTTGTTCTTTCGTCTTTGTAACCGGGCTATGCCCCTTCTTTGTAATGGCTTTTCAATGAATGAAAAGTGTAACTACTAAGGCGTCATTATGCGGTGTCTGAATGCGCTCCAGGTCCCTCGAGGAGAAACTGATCACTTCTTTCGCTTCCGTCCTCCCCCTCTTGAGCGCAGGCTGAACTGACAAAACTTCCCTCATGTGCTCTACCTTTTTTATCATACCACGGAGCTCGCAAACGCGCGCCGGTTCCACTATGCCGTGGATGACATTCATAACCCCTTGAGGAGGTGCATCTCGGTCGTCCGGTCCCCGCAGATCAACCGGAACTTGATTTGCCTTGACGCCCCCATCAATGTAAAGATCCAGGTGCCCGGCCGCGACTAGCTCTTCCAGGTGTTGCCTTAATGGCAAACAATCCTCAGTCCGGTGGCCTCGCTCCAGATGAAACGTACAACGATACCGCGGATTGTAGCCCTTTTGTCCATCGCCCAACTTAGTAGGAAACCGGACATACTTCTCGTCTCGGATTTCACTAAGTATGCGATAGATTGGAATCTTGAAGACCGTGGTTATGCCAGTCCTTGCCTTCAACCTTCTGTTTGCGTCCGCTACGTCATCTCGGGGGTAGTCATCCCGGTCATTCCGACGTCCTCTACCCCGGTTTTTTCTGATTCGATCCACGATCCGATTCCTCAGCGCGGTCAGAAGATCGGCCGGACTCCTGTCCGACTGTATGCACTTTTCCAGCCTTCTTGTCTATCGCTGCCGGAGCTGACTTCGCGGTAGACGCCGACGCGTCATCCTCAACTCGAATATGCTCATTGATGCGTTGCATGAGTTGGCCCATGGATGTCGACTGGTGCTTGGTAAGCGAGTCCCGCAGTCTATGTCCGACCGGAAGACCACACTTGTATTGCGTGATTGCAAGGTTGACCGGGCAATCTAAGATCTCGTTGAAGGTTTCCCAATACATTGAGTTGTATGCCTTCAATGTGTCGCTTGGTTCCATCTTGACACTAAGTAAATGATCGACTTCTTTTGGTGTTTTTGTGTTGGTTTTGAAGCGCGTCACAAAGGCTTCGGCCAACTGATGCCACTGTTGTATGCTCCCTTCCGGCAGCCTCTCGAACCACTTCAAGCCCAGCTCGCCTAAACTTGACGGGAAGATCAAGCACATAAGTCCGTCATTTCGCCTATGTCCGGCCATAACCTGTCGGAAGTGGCTCACATGCATGTAAGGATCGGTTTTTCAGTCGTAGAGTGTGAACTTAGGCTGGTGGAAGCCCGCCGGAAGCGGTGTTGTTTCTATTTCTAGGGAAAAATGGGTGGCACTTAACCTGGCCAAATCTGAATCCACTAGGAGTGGCACTGCCTGGTGGGGTGGAGGCATTCCGACCTCCTCGCTGGCGTGAACCCCGTAGGATAGCCGCTGGAACGCCGGTATCCTCTGAGCTTCGCGCCGGCGAGCCCGCTCCTTCAAGACCGCCCGCAAATCCTCTGAATGAGCGGAGTGAGAGTACTTCAACGTCGTCGCCGGACGTGAGGGCCGGTAAGTGCTATCTTGCGCGCTAGACTTCTCTGCATGCACGTCGGAATCACCAACCTGATAACTTCTGGTAATAGAAATGGATGGAGTGCGTCGCTGACTCTGACCGCCTGAACGGCGGGATGGGGTGCGCTCACTGTGGTCACCCACTCCAGCTACACCCTTCCCTTTAACATGCCGCTTGAGCTCCTCCATCTCCACCGCCATTCGCCGGATGACAGCGTCTTGGTCCCTCAACTTGTGTTCCAGACATCGGGTATGTGATTCTCTCCGCCGCCGATGACCGTCCGGACTTCGTGAATGACCATAACTTCTCCCGCGCTTATCCCGCGCGTCTCCTGACTGTCCTCCGGTGGGTGTCTCCAAGTCCGCCATTGGATGGATGGCGGGAGGTCCTTCTCTCCGTCGGGTAAACTCCGGAGTTGCTCCGTCTATGGCAGACAACAGAAACTCTTCGTTGTTCGCCATGGTCGGCGGTCAGACGAGCGTGGAAGACAAGGTTTTATCTGCAAGCTTCCCACAGACGGCGCCAATTGTGCTGGGAGCAAATATTTCAGCAAGCCCGTACTCCTTTCTTCGTAGCTCCGTTTCTGTCCGATCACTTGAAAGCACAATAAGGGTGAGCTACCCGGCGGTGTGTGGCCGGAAAACCCCTCTGACGATCTAATTAGCACACACCTTAGGGAGAGGAGAGAGAGAGAGTGTTTGAGTGTAGGAGTTCCTTACCAAGTGTTCGTCTATCCAGTATGGGGGGTGCAAACATGCTTATATACCTTTCTGCGTCCCAAACCTGCTCCCAATGGTCTCTCGACACGTGGCTCTGCTATCCCATCTGTCAGCACTAATCCTGCTGAGCGTCACCTAATCTCAACTGCCCGCTCACTCTATTGGGAGCTCGGCAGCCGAGCTGCACCATCTTGTCCGCCAACAATCGTGCTGTGCTTCATGTCCAAGCACTCCACTAGCTAAGCTTAATAAGGACCGGGCTAGGCAACATCTCGACAAAGCCGAGCAAACAGGTACCTCGGCTGACCACGCCTTTCCGAGCGCCGGTCACTTACTTGACTTGCTTCGCCTCCGTCAAACATGTAGCTCGGTCCAACCAAGCGTTCCCTTAACCGAGCAACTTCTTTCCAAACTGGGCCACATATCCTCGGCCCAACACTTGCCCCGCCCAAATCTGTCCGGCACAACTCTGTCCGGCCCAAATCTGTCCGGTATAACTCTATATCATTAATCTCCCTCTCAAAAATAAAGAAGATAAATATTTTTTTTGTTTTGTTTTGTTTTGGGGGGTTATAATGCATGTATCTGCTGGATTTATAAGCTTAAAATTTCTTCAATTCTTGCCGTCCGGTGGCAATAAATTAATTTCTCTTGAG